CAGAACTATATATTCTGAACAAGCCAGAAACAGTTCTACTGCAGTTTGTCCCAAGGAGGAGAGAAGTCAGTAGCCACTATACTCCACAAGGAGGATTTTGAGAAGTACTGGGGAAATCTGTGGTTCTGTGCCACTGGAGACAATATAACTGCCCGCCCCACCCCCCGCTGGCTCTAATATGAATGTGATGCTTATACGTAGTTCCCTACCACCTATGTTGTAAGTGGAATAAAAGATAGGGATGTACATCATAACCCAGTTGGTTATTTTGCACTAACTATAATCTGCCATGTCCAAAGGCAGCCCCACATGTAACACACTGCAGTTACTTCCAACAGGATGGCCTCAGAAAATGGATAATAGTGCCCATGCTATTCTTTCCAGTAGGGTCCTGGGCTGGGCACACAACCAGAAAAGAAGGCCAGATTGAACACTAAGGAAATAAGCATTTTAACATATTTTGCTTAATGTGATAATGTATTGTTTAATTTGACCAATGACTAGTTTTTAATGAACACTTCCTAGTTCTATAATCTTTTAGAGGTGGCAACTAAATATATTTAGGAAGCTCTGTCCAGAAGGACAGATGCCTCCATTTACAGGTAGTGAACTAGGATGGGAAACACACAGCAACCTTGTGCACAGAGGAGAGGAGCTAAAGTAATAACCACATTAGTATTGTATTAAAGCCAAAGCAAAGCTTGCTGTTTATTTACCACCTGTTTATTTACCATCCCATAGTGCTTAAAGCACTTTCTGGGTAGTCGACATATTAATTATGCAGGCTACACATTGCCCCCTCCCCCCATTGAGCTGGATACTAATTTTACTGACTTCGGAAGGATGGAAGCTTGAGTGAACCTTGAGCTGGCTACCAGGGATGGAACCCTGGTTCGTGAGCAGAGTTGGGCTGCAGTACAGCATTTTAACCAACACGCCACAAGGCTCCAGGTATACCTGTCTTTTTGCATAGCTAGGTACATCAGCCCATAGGGAGGTGAGTGCAAACCCAAGAGTAACTTGTTTTATTGTTATGTTTGTTCATCTGCCTGTTTTATCCTCATTCTCTTTTAATTCAAGGTACCCCTGAGCACATACATTGGGAATATCTTGGAGCGCTTGTGCCAAAGTTTCTGAAATGTGTCCAGATATGACTGGCACTCAAGATGCAAGAATAAAAAATGGTTCTCTCCTCTTTCTTGAACTTGATGGGAAACTAGCAACACAATTTAGGTCATGAAAATTCCATCATCAATTCCCCCCCCTTTTTTTTTTACGAAAACAGATGTGATTACTTCAGCCTACCATTTGGGCCTCTGCACAATCCTCTCTGCTAAATTCATGCTTTTGGGAAGATTAGGCAAAATATCAGAAACTGGTCACAGATTTGAAATCGCAAAGCAAGGGAGGCTCCTGGACGAAACAATCCAAAGATAAAAGAGGCTGGGGAATTCACAACAGAGGTAAAATTCCTTTGTGGCTCAACCCTCTTGCATGATTTTTGTTAAAGGCACCAAGAAGAAGGTACAACTAAAAAAATGGCAGGAGATCTATAATCTACTTTTGATAGCCATTTTTTTCAAAGAACAAAATTATGTATGAGAGTTTTGGACCACAGTAGTGAGGGAAGGCCCTCCTCACGGACTGTAGATATATGTGGAAAAACTATGCAAGCATCCTAAAACAGTATCCTCTAGTTCTACCGGCAGAGAAGAAGTAACATCATCACTCCATACTTATCTTCAAAGCTGAGAAGAGTGTCTTCATTATTTGGGTAAATACTATATTTACCCAAATAGCTTCCTGGAGTAATTCTGAACCCTAGAAAACTCAAGCTTATTTCCTACCAACCATGCCATGAAGCCTTGGCCTTGTTTCCAAGACATTCATAGAGTCCCCACCCCCCAATAGTTCACTTAAAGGTAGAAGTGAAATCGAACAAAGTTAGAATCATCTCCATCTTTTTCTTCTCTCTTTCAGGATGACAATGCAGCTTTTTCAGACTCCACATTCTATTCACATCCAGGACATTTTTCTGCACAAGCAAATATATAATTTCATTTCTGCTGTTCAGAAAACAGTGAAGCTTCAGCTGGGAACATGCTTGAGAAGATGTAGCAGCTCCTGCCCCATATCTTTTGGACCACATAGAAAGGAGCACCAGTATCCCATCAACTTCCATAGCATCTCCTGAAGCAGCCCCTTCTTTCTATACATGCAAATGTATGGTCTGTTGCTCCGTTCCTTTACATGGGGCAAGAAAATAAGATTTGATCATATGAGAGCATGAGCAATTAAGCCACCTGGAGAACCATGTGACTGACTCCGCTGAATGTATTTATTTATTTATCTATTTATTCAATCTTCCATCCTGGAGAACCATGTGACTGACTCGCTGAATGTATTTATTTATCTATTTATTCAATCTTCCATTCAACCTATATACCACCCAATAGTGCAATATGCACTCTCTGGGAAGTTGACAACCAACATAAATCAACATCAATTACAAGCATCATCAACAAATAACAAACAAATGACTAGTACTACCTAAGCTTTTTGTTGCAAGTCCCATTTATGTATGTATGTGTCAGAATGGATGCAAGTGGGAACTATACCAAAACCAGGGCTTAGACACAATTAGTTACACATAATCAGTTATATGTCATTAATTTATTTCCCCAAAACCTAATGTACACATTACATCAGTGTTGTCATGTATGAACTATTTCCTCATTCCTTCTGCAGTGTAATGTTAGCTTAGTGTCTTTTATACATATAGGGAAGTGGCCTCATTAACTGGAGGTGAGGTTCAAGTGTTGGCTCATGCTGTGTACCATACTACTACCTCATGCTCTGTCATGGGTGTTCATGTCAAGATGAGGAGAAGTTGGCTGGACCGTGAGATAGGAGAAGCTGACATACAGAAGCTAACTTCCAGTTAGATTGCACTTCAGTACTGGTAGTGAAATAGCACCCCCTCTATCCAGAACCTGGAATTCATTCCTTAATGTTAACTTGATAATTTTAGTCTGCTGTGCTACCCACAACAGGGCAAACGATCAGTAGCTCAACTTTTAGACAGACAGACAGACAGACAGACAGACAGATAGATAGATAGCAATGGAACATGCTACTACAGGAACTGAGGGGTCCCACACATCTGAAAGCTGCCCTAACAATGGCAGCTTTCAGATGTGTGGGACCCATCAGTTCCAGCCAACAACTGTTTTATGAGATTTGTAGTCCATTTGGAAAAAGTGCCAGATCGGGGAAGAAAACTTTAAAACTAAAGAGCACTGCAGAAGGAGTCCATAACACATAGGAATCAAGGGTGACAACCCATATGCCATTCTCTACAAATCCCACAGTTGATTCAAACACTAACAGTTTTACAGAATAATTATCTCTAATCCAATAAATTAAACTATTTCATTTCCCTAATGCCTGCAGCAACAAATTAACCTAGCCATGTGCAACATTAACCATTAATGAATTAATTTTCAAACCTAATATTCCAAGCTCTGCCTCCATCCCACCTGAGACCAGCTGACCTCTTTAGCAGATACAGGACACCCTGTGTGGCGCACACAGATCTGTCCTCCTCAAAGGAGGGAATGGCTAGTGGGCTCAGGGAATGTCTGAAAGCGGTCACTGCGACCCCTCAGCATCTGCCACAAGGCAGTTATTGCCATTGCCTCATGGCAGGGCCAGCTCTTGAGTGAGAAAAATAGAGGGGGGGAAGAGAGAATGTGGGAAGCAAGACAAAAAGAGACAGAAGCAGTTAGGAGCTAGAGAGAAAAAGAAGAAAGCAGAGAGGCTGGAAAAGCAGAAGACGAATGCTAGCAGCAAATTTTAGCAAGTGGCAGCATGATCATACATTATTTCTGCTCAGGTGTGGTGATTGTTTTTATCATGTAAAAACAGCCGGTTAACCTTAATCCTTATTGATTCGGAAAAAAGTTTCCTTCTACCTAATAGGATTTATTTCTGTTCTGGTGTTTGAGGTATGCTCTCTAACTGTTACCGACTAGTGATGTCTTCTCTGTTAATGGACATGTTTCTGAATTACAGTAGTTATGTTTTATCCTTTGGAAGAGGGTGGTTATATTCTATCGTACTTGGGAAAATGAGTTCACACATATTTACACAGGGACATATGGAGCAAGAAAATTAAAAGAAGCAGGGGATTAGTTTTTTTGCCATATATTTCAAGATCTTTGAAACAAATTTTTGTTTTATAAAGGGGAGGCAGGGACGGAGAGATCAGGACGGGAAATTACAGTCAAATATATGTAAAGTAACATATATTTGATTTAAATCATGATTTAAATTTACAAATCAGATTTTTTGATAATTTTAATAAAAACATTTTTAAATTTAAATTGTAATTTCAATTGTGCTTTAAATAAATATGATTTTTAAAAGCATCATTGATTTTTCTATACCCTGTAAGGACTTATATGTTAAGAACTGGAATATATAATAGAAAGCTTTGTAAATGAGACACAAGAAAAAGACAAGAAAAGATAATATAGCCTTTATAACAGATGCAATATTCCATCTAGTGAAAAGTTACTTAATTTTTTTCAAACTAATTCCTTATTTAATTTACAGTTAAAAAAGAGGAGTGCAACAAAAATTTAGAAATCAAATGAAATGAACTTCTTGTCTCTACACCTCTTGATCAACACCCTTCCCTTTGCAATTAAAACCAATCTCCCAGTATGATATTATCTTCCATTTTGCAGACTGAAATGTAGGAATCATGTAAAGACTTACTACTGGATAAAACAATACCACCCGAGGACATTTCTCTTGGCAAACTGATGAAGGGCCCTGAATTATTGCTACAAAAGCAACTACAAAAACTGCATTTTGGAAAACAAGAAAATCACCACTGTGCTACTATTACAATAGATGGAAACAAGAAATGAAATCAATCAGAGATAAAATCACAGAGGGCAAGGACACAGAAAAACACTTTGGATGTTCCTTACCCCAGTAGGAGCCAACCCTATAACAAGACACCAAGGTCTGCCGAAAAGTATGTTGTTCTTCTTTTTCAGGGACATTATGCCCAGTTTTAACTCTGTATCCATTTTTGAATAAATCTCCATGAGACTTCTTGCGGCGTCTGGTAGTTTTATATGTTTCCGTCCGTGTACCCCCAGAGGGGTTGTGGTAGACCAAAATCTTACTGGGAATCATCACAGCAGAACTTCAGGGATAGTGATGGAGTGAATTTTGACAATAGTATTTCCCAAATTCAAGGCAAAACCAGAGGGGGGGGCTGAGGGGGAGGAAAGAGAAAACTAAAACTAAAAAAGAAAAAAAATCCAAAATTATATTTTTAGAAAAGAGAAAGAGTCTGCTGATAATCAGACTCCTATGCTGGAAATACGTTTCTTGTGAAAAGCCATGGGGAAATGACAGGATTTAAGCTTGTTGTTGTACCAAAAAAGAAAGCATAGCCAGGGGGGGAGCATCCTGAAGAGAAGAAATGAGAACACCACGTTCTATTCCATCTTCAGTTCTGTTCCCTAAAATATAGGGAATGCCACCAAAGCTGAAGTGGCGAGGCAGAAAGACCGTCTCTGCAGATGCTCTTCTGATTTGTACAAAGCCAAGGCTTAAAAGACATCTCCTATCCGGATATTACCATGTAAGCTTCTTTCCTATCCCCTCCAACCTGCTTCCTCTCCAGCTGGAGGAAAAAAAAATACAGACTATTATTTTGTAGAAAAGAGATACTTTGATCTGCAAAACCCACAAAATGTATTTGGTTGTCATGGAAATTGTTCCTTTGACAACACTGCATGTCCTGTGTTAGGCTAAAAGTCCTGTACTGCAGGGAGGTCAGATAATCAGTCAACTCTTACAGGATTTAGTCCTTATGAATTGGGGAGGGGGCAACGTCCACTAATCCTCAGTTAATGACAAGTGAAGTATCAAATACTTTAAGCTAGAACAAGAAGTAGGTATAAACATGCTATATCCTCTATGATTATGGTCAGTATTCACATATTTCTTGCTTCCAAATTCAAGCCAATCCCAAAGTGTTCAGGTTAAGATAATGATAATCAAGGTGTTTTTAAATGAGCATTACTCTTTCGTAACAGCACAGAATTTAAGCCTGGGCACAGCTGTCAGATACTGATTTGTATAATCCATTATGAATTCAAATGTAGCATTCTTTCTGAAGCTCCACTTTCCTGCCAAAACTGTCATTTGAAATCTTCTAAACTAGGCTAATTCAGGGGACTGTTTACTTCATATGTCTGTTTCACCAAAAAGAAGGGTTTAGTGACTACTGGCTGTCCAGCTGTATGAAACCTTATTGTGCATCTGTACTCAGGAGCGAGGTAGTCCCTCTTGAAGAGCTGGAGAGAATACCTTTCTCCAGTACACATAGGCACTAATCTCTCTTGAACAGCAAACTCCCCATTCTTACGCTTGGTTGATGGCTAAGAATGCCCATATGTTCTGAGTTGAGTGTGGGGACTGGGCTAGAGTCTGCTGAAGTAACAAAAATGTCTTGTCTTCTCTCCTTAATGCCATTAAAACCAGATCTATTTTCTTCTGGAGTTCCTAAGCTGAAAGAGCCAGGCTGAACCAGGGTATTTTGCTACCAGAGTGAAAAGCAAGTCAGGATTCCCTCCTGTTCGATGTCCAAAAGTCAAGTGACATCCTCCACTGTGCAAAAGCTTAAATGTATGTGTGTGCAGGTGGCATGGCATATATCTCTTTCCTCTAAAGTCCTGTTCCCTCCTCCTGGCATCAGCTCCTCCTGGCATCAGCTGAATGTTCCTGGGAAAGGATCATTCCAGGTATATCAATCTGGAGGAAGGCTACCGATGCATCCCTGCAAGGTAAATTCACATCTTTTTTCTCAAGTGGTATTAAATTTCCTCCAGAAATACCATATTTTATGTTGGAGGCTACAAAGGCTGTTTATCAAAGTAAATGCATCCTCACTTACTAAGATGGAACTACTTCATTACTGAAGAACTGTTCTATGTGTGATATACCTACCATTTTTTTTTCATCCTCTCCTCTGATTTCAAGGGCTCTCCACACTTCTTTGCTGGCAAAGCATGCTCCTATTCTTTATAAGAGCTGTCACTTGCATTTGTATGTTTTCACACAAAGAATCCCCTTGGTGATTTACACATGCATAAGTGAAATGAAGTAAGTTGCAGTAGCCAATCACCACTAATTAAGAAGCCACTGCAACTTACGTGATTTAACCTGAAATTGCTGATAGAACATTGGCTGCAGTTTCACATACCATTTAGATGGATGAAGTGAAAATGATGGGAATAACAACAATTTTTAATGAAACTGAAACTTACCGTCTGTTATATTTTGGAGATTAAATAACTGCCCATCAAGTGAAAGACGTGGCACTTTATTCTAGCTGGTATGAAACTGTCTTTTTCATATTATCTTGGATGAAACTTTCAGCATACTTATATGGGCTACTATTCCATGCATATATAGCACATTAAAATTTACATCAATATTCCTCAAAACAATTTCTCATGGAAGCTTAAGCTCCCAGCTTTCTCCAGATAAGACAAAGAGAAAGTAGGGTAATAATGAGTATTTTATTTCTGGTATTCTGTGGCACAGTGCCAGATTTCTGTACAAGAGTCGTACTGAAGATGATTTAGAAGCTATTATATGTGGCTCACAGACACTTCCTTCTGATCTGAAACGTGTCTTTTGGATATACTTATCATAAGTAAGGGCCCATCCACATTTAGCATTCAAATTTTCTTTCTCCCATGATATGAGTACCACAAATGTGTGTACACACCACAGAAGGCTGAAACTTGTACCAACAGAGTCAAAGCAGGACAAAAGCACTGTTTTCTGGGAATTTTTCTTTTGCACTACCTCCAAACTAGTGTTAGGTTTTGCTTTGCTGCAGTTTGCTCCATGGCAGGATCTGATCATGTGGACCCCACACACTACGTTGATCTATGCTGTGTACTTTCTGTGTATTTGATATTTTGATTACTTTTCCTTATGGGTGTTTTTCTGCAGGTCATTCTTGATCTCTCCATTCCTTCCTGCTGTTCTTATTTACTTTTCAGTGGCTCCTGTTTTCTGTCTCTGAAATTGATGTTATCATTTTTACACCACAGCATGAAAATGAACAGTTAAAATTAAAAAGTATGAAGGGGAAAATGTGAGGATTTGTGAGAGTAAAATGAGGGAAAGGAAAAGAGAGTGAAGTAGGGGGGAAGAGGCAAAAAGGGGCAGCAATCTGTGTTGGGGAGGAGAACTCAGTGAACTATTCCTAATGCATGTGGTCAAGTGAAACCCGGAGAATGCAACACATCCCATAACATCAAGCAACAAATATTCTTTCCATACGTGGACACCAATTTTGGAACAATATATTCAAATCTACTACAAAAAAATATCAGAATGACACAGAGTATGAATATTTATTATTCCAACAAGAAACATGGATCTCACAGAGATACCCTGGATCAGTGTAGCTATTACTCCCTACCAACATTGCTGTTCTAGTCCTAAATGGCAATCTTTCTGCAGATATACAAAGAAATTCAAAGAGAAATCCAGTAATTTCACAGTTTGTCTTAGTATCTGTAATAATAATGATGCACCTTCAAGTGGATTTCTCACCTATGGAAACCCTCCTAGGTTTTCCTAGTATAAAGTACTCAGAAGCAGATTACGTCTAGGGGTGGTCTGGGACTATGCACACAGGTGAGAGGGCATGCAACCCCATCAGACATAACACGCTCTGGGTGATATCAGCTAGCCCCTCTCCTAAGAGGCACAGTGGAGATTCAAAATCTCAAACACTCTGACCCACCATCTCACCTTACCTGTAAACAGATATCATTCTACAGTACAAAAGAATGAGGATGGCACAACCAGAAGCACTGATGAATGTGGTAGTATACACAATTTACCTAACTAAAACTAGTTATGTTACTAGAATCAATCATTTTTATGACATACAATAGGAAACAGGGGCAACCGTTCTCCCAGAAGAGAAGGAGGCCTGCCAATGGGATGGCCCTTAGCCCAGCAGAGGTCCCAGCACAAGTGCAGGAAGCTCACTGAATAGTCACATCCTATCAGCAGCATTCTGCCAGCCTGGTGAAGAATTGAGTATATGGAAGGCATTCAAATGTCCACAGGCTTCACAGGATGCTGAATATTTATTGCGTGTCTCAAAAAATGTCTTCTCAAAGCTTTTCCACATGTGTGTGTGTGTGTGTGTGTGTGTGTGTGTGTGTGTGTGTGTGAGCATGTTTGTGTGTGTGNNTGTGTGTGTGTGTGTGTGTGTGTGTGTGTGTGTGTGTGTGTGTGCATGAGCATGCATGTGTGTATGGGGGGGAGAGAATGGGACAGGAGTCACAGAATCCTAAGCCCTTTAGTTCCCCCAGTACACAAAACCACAAGGATCAGGGCTTTTGCATTAGGAGTGGTGTTAACAACAACATCAAAAGGTAGGCTTCACATAAAAAGTCTTTGCACAAAAATATGTAATTTTGCATTAAAAAACTGTAGTTTGCTCAAATTCAAGGCATTTTTGTAGAAAATCACTTCGGCAATTTTTTTTCTGGAAAAGAAAAAGGGGTCCCAACATGCAAAATATGTAGAAGAATGCTTAAGTCTCACCTAGCAGAGATAAATTGTTTTAGTTTCTCATTCACATTTGTGAGAATATGAGTGAAGATTTTCATCCCTACTGCCCTTACCTATATTCCTTCTGTCCTGGTCACAGAAAGTGGCAGGACTTAGGAAGTGGAAGTAGCTTCTGCACAGACAATTCTGAGAGTAATGTTGAGAAAATGGCCACTTCTCTGCTTAGATAACAGAGAATGTCAGGCATAGGGCCACTCGTGACAGGATCAAAGGAAAAGCACACTAACCTATCCACATTTTGAGGTGAGGTGGGTGCCTGACTTGGTCCCTCTGCCACATTTTCTGTCAAGTGTGGGGTGGTTCTATTTAGAGCTAAGAAGATTGACGGGGGGGGGGAGGAAGCTGGTAGATGGGTCAGATTGCAACTCCCAGCATCCAACTTAAGCCTAGAACAATCACACACAGGTGCACCTGACAGCTCTCTTTAGAGGCACACAAGCATCTAAACCCCAGACTGTTCTGCACTCTGGTGTTTATGGAATTCTTTCCCACTGGCATTTCTCTGGGCTTCCTGT